AAACAAGCCAAACGCCCCTTATCCCTGAATATCCCATTGTTTACACGCCCAATAGATTTCCTTGAGCTTTCTCTCTCCGTGTGTGTTTTTCGCAAACGAGATTTTTCGTGTTCCATTTTTTTGTCCCCGTGTGTAATTTCGCGTGAAGGATAGGTTTCCTTTGTGTGAGATTTGCAGCGAGCATTTTGAGCGTCTGCAATCATCTTTATTGACTTATATTATTGAGATAAATATAAAACAAGTAACATAAAGAAAAATATTACAGATTTCTGAATAACTTTTTAAGCGTTTACACATACGACTGTATCAAGTTAAAGCAATTAGAAGCCCTAGTGTTTAATGCACATAATTTGTAATTCGCGACAAAAAATATTTTTATCGGACTTGCTGTCGACTCTACATTCCAGTCTTACGCCCGTATTCACAAACATTACTATGAGGTCTCACAGTGCGCGTAGATGCACAGGGTGACACACGAACCAATCACAGAGATCTATTCAACGCTGTGAGTTTGATTTGCTGCTTGACTTAAGCAATTATCGTTTTTGAATACTGGTGTAATTAGACGACTCCAAACACTCGTAACTGCCATTCGAATTCTCATACCATCGATTCTCACCAAACTGGATTGCTAATTATCCTGCTTTCGCCTCCGAGATTTATTTTACCATGTAGTAGTACCCCTGTACGACAACCCAATCCGCACACAATATTCAGCGTAGTAGTAGTAAAAAACAAAAGAGCGGGCAACCCCACCCCTACCACGCTGTGGGCTCGGTGTCCGAGCGGTCTCATTCCTTTGTGCGCACGCGCAACGACCGCACGCAGTATAAGAAAAATGCTTAAGTGACGTCACCAGGACGTTTTTACCGACAAAAAACGTAATTATTTTAAGTTGTGCAGTGTAGTGACGAGAATTAGACCCAACACAGGATAATTTAGATCGAACTTCACTTGGTAAGTTCGTTTGATCATTCAATAATAAAATCAATTAGTGCTACCAAGTACTTATTATTATTCTGTGGTGCTACTTAGCTCTTAATTCTTAAAAATACAACAAGAACGGCAAACAGTGACAAAGTCTTTAATTTAGAATTCACTAGCGTTCTACTTTGAAGATTGTGTGCTCAATAAAAATGAATAATTGACACCGTTTAGCCAGTAATTTAAAACACCTCTTAAAGACATCATTCCAAACTTGAAAACTGAGTTTACTTAATTATTTATTTAGCCATCAACAGGAGATAGGTACAGTAATACACACAACGAAAAAAAAAAGCTAGAATTTGTTCTAAAGCTGCCTACTGCAATACTCAAATATTTATTGCATCCATAATGATACAGAGCTGGTGGTGGTATTTTAGATACACTTATGGACCCTGTCGACCACAGCATTTTAGGAGAGGGGGGATTCCTTTGCCATACATAATTTATGAAGTCACATTTTGACAGCCTAAAGCAGTATTTCCCAAAGTGGGCGATAACGCCCCCTTGTGGGCGCTGCAGGCTTAAAGGGGGACGGTAAGAGACCCAGAAAAAAAATCGGGACGTTGTGTAGAGGCTTGGGAGACGTCATTTACTTAGGAGGACTCTTAGACACCAACTGAGCACTCGACTCTAGACTACAAATGGGGGCGCTAAAAAGAATTTATTTTTAAAGTGGGCAGTAGACAAAATAAGTTCGGGAACCGCTGGCCTAAAGAATTGACTAAAGGTGTCAACCGCCCTAATAAGCCAATTGCTTAGTAGTATAGTCTATAGATTATTCCGTTCTAGACATAGCACCAATAGGCTATGTTTGGTCAGTCTCAGCCAAACAATCAATGGGCCTGTTTACACTCAGTGTACACTTAGTTTCTCCCTGATTAACCGACGGTCTGTAAGACCCTCTGTTTGCGTTTGGCCATCGTTGTGTATAAGCTCTTTGTTGACTTGATTTCATGATACCGATGTGAGGAAAACATAACACTAAAAAATGAGGATGTTAATGTAGAATATGCGTCACGATAAACTTTTATCGCGGCATTTTATCGATGTTGCGCGATAAGTGATGAGATTTTATCAATGCGCACATCCTATCCCGGCTGGTGATTTATTTGAAGGTCCACAAATGCAAGGGCATTGTTATGTGTGCTGGGAAGTTCCACATAGTGCATATTTCTTTGATTAAGAACCAAGCTTCTGATGTGTGGAAAAGATAATCTTTGCCAAAAATATAATTAGTAGTAGGTATTAGTTGTGTGGTTGCAAAATTCTGGTGTAAATAAGACGCGGGAAGTACCTGGATGCAAGCGGCGCAGAACCGGTCTTTGTGGAAATCCTTGGGGGAGGCCTTTGTCCAGCAGTGGACGTCTTTCGGCTGAAACGAACGAACGAACGAACGAAAGACGCAAGATGGTTTACTATTAAAATATTTGACAGCTATTTCTTCTTTTAACCTATATTTTTGTACTATTTTTTTTATTTGGAAAACATATACTAGCTTACAGTTTAAATTTGAATTCAACAAAAGCTCAGTTTCACATATTTTATTCCTCCTTATTTTCTACTTTATTATTGGTCGAAACGTTCATGAAATGATTTATAACACAACCCTGATCACACTCCAGTACATAAATACAACCCATTGTTTACAGAGGGTCCGCTAAGGCTTCTATTATATCGACCAAATTCCCGTAAGTAGCAAAACTATCACTCAAGGCGCTAAGTGTTATCTGAGGGTAAGGGATCGTCCACAACGGATTGGTGTTGTCAGAAAATTTATTGCTCATCGATAATCGATTGCCTATTAGAAGACCTTTTTCCGGGTTATAATTAAGCTGTTATCTTTGGCTTTGAGACTTACTTAACTTTACTGTTTCAGTTCTCATAATACCTCTTACTGTCATTCAGGGAAACGTCGATATGATGAAAGACGTGTGAAAATAGGTAGCGACGATCTGGTGAAGGTTGTGGGACGAACCTGGATGCGTTGGTGGAAATCCTTGGTCAGGTTTTTGTCTAGCAGTGGACGTCATTTGGCTGAACGAACGAAAATGTTACGCTCGTGTTCATAAAACATTGTGTTGAGATGATGCTATGGCATCTTATGTAGGTGCCATTACAACAAAAGGGTGCTCTGATGTGCTGTCAACTGTACTGGTTCAAACATAAGGTTCAAGATCACAAAGCCGATCAGTGACTTAACGCTGAAACTTTTGGAATATCTATCAGGCTATGAGGAAAACTGTAGACGATGTGCGCAAAACTTAGTGGATCTTGAACAATGACAGAATGAAAAAGAGAGAAAGAAATAGAGAGAGAACTTGTTGAACACGAGGTTTAATGTAGCGTAGGGTAGTTGTAGGAACTAAATCGAGAGTCTTAAGTGTGTGTGACCTTGGCCTAATACAAACATTTGAGCCAATAAACACATGGTGTCTGCCCAAACAAACATATCCATGTACTGGCTAAGATACGTGATAAAACTGATTATAGCATAACTTATTCCTTAACTCTCAAAAAGACGGTTGTAGTATATTTATTTCTTTTTTGACGTTATGAAACGCCTTATGACGACGTTATAATAAGAATGAAAGGCACCCAAAACAACTGAAATAATTCAAAAATCATTTATTTGACATAAAACTTACTTCATTTAAAAAGTTAAGACTAAGTCAGAAAATGTTCAAAATCATTTATATAAATTTATATTATGTACAACTGTCATTCAATATTTACAAAAAAGTTTATCATTACGTTTAACTGTCATTGAATATTTACAAAAACACATAGATAAACTAAATAGTGTTCAGTTCACTAAAAAGAAACATCACCATCTCTTCCCTGAAGAACTTTATCACATCATCATTGGACGGAATGATGTCTTTTAGCAGGCTCCAAAAGTCACCAGGCAGCAGACAATCTTCGGAATTCTTGGAATGGCTCCATGATCTGTCACATCTGAAACTGAAATAAAAAAAAGAATAATACAAAGAAGAACAAATTATTTTTAATGATACCTGAAAATATACATTTTGTTTAAAAATGGATTGCCAATAGTTAAGAAGGATCTAAAGACATATAAAAACTACTTTTAGATGACAAGTCCGATTAAAGATGATAATAATGAAGAGGGAAGAAGCAAATTAATGAGAAGAAAGATAACATTATTGGCCAGATGACCAAGGCTTAAGGTTCAATCATGATTGCTAAAAATACTATTATTAAGTAACTCGTTTGCCTCCTGTCCCTTAAAAAAACTAGTGAAGATTCTTACCTGATCCATGTGAGATGCTGCCTACTGCTGAACCCACGTTTGATCTTGCCATTCCTTATCTGGTCCATCACTTTGATTGAACTAGTATTCTACTCTAATAATATCATCAACATATTTGGTTGAAATTCTTATATTCTAGTCTTAGTCTTATCCAGCAGTCTTCAATCTCCACCGATCGTCAGCACTGCATGGGATGTATCAATTTATCCAATTTCCATTTTTGTAAACGTCACGTCGAGGGTTTCCATTTACTTGTGTATTCCCATCATCGAAGTCAACTCCCAAACAGCATGCTTTGCTGCCGTTTACTGCTGCAGCTGCTACAATGCTTATTTAATCTACTCGAGCATCTTGAGCATCGTCAGTCATGATTTCTTCATTCGAAGTACCTCACTAAGTTGCTGCTGCTCCTCTACACTATTATCCATTTAATGGAACCATTGTATGATTTACTTCTTTATGATATTTTATATTTCTATTATGGCCACATTGACTATCTTGGTCTAACTTACGTCTCATACTTTAGCTTTAGCTCTTATTCTACAGATAACTTAAAGATACATATTTTGGGCAAGTATTTGTGAATCATTAAAACAGACAAAATCGTTCACATACTCACTCTTCTTATAACTATAGTCTGGTCTCTGAGCACGTAGAATTTTGTCCAATGACCCCAAGCTACCCATCCTTATCGCTCGCGCGTAATTATGTTGCTGTCGCGCTCGCACACTCACTGCGGGCGCCCGGCGCACAGTCGCGGATGGGTAGCTTGGGGTCATTGGACAAAATTATACGTGCTCAGAGACCGGGATTTAGTTGGAGATTCAAAAAAATCACGTCGCCTTCTTACGGCGATTTAAGAACCAGATTTTAAGGGTCCTTTCTGTCAAATTAAGGCATTTTGAGAGATATTCCCGGCGAGCTTTGTCCAAAAGGGGACTTTTCAAGAACTCAGTCTCGAGTTTGTACTCGTGCGCATCGGTGAACGCGATCTTAGTGCGCTTGCGACTTTTAACTCCTTTCTTTGGAGACTGATCTTCGTAGTCATTCGGTAATTTAATATATTGGCCTACAAACAAGATTTCTCCAGTGGCCGTTTCATAGGGAATGAAATTGAAGGGCCCAACCTTCGCGCTGGGTTTTTCCTTTGGCTGCGCCGTATTGTTTTCAGCCACTTCTTCCATTTTTATTTTTCAAACTCCTTTTAAAGATATTAAGTTTTGTCTTGGATTTGGTTTGAAGAATCCCAGTCTCTTATAACCTTAAATGTTATGTCTGTAAAGAGGAGATACCAAACATGAGATATTTTTGTCAGATAAATTATGAAATCATATCAATTTACATTTATGCAAACTAATGAAAGGTGAATAAAGATGGTAAGAACAGACAACGGCACATCAAGCTACAGTATATTATGCAGTTCCAATAAGGGCTATTTTGAAACAACAATGTGTCTGATGAGCTGTCGACTGTACTTAGTTCAAAATTTTTGAGTTTGTAATTATTATAGGATTAAAAATAAATATTAAACATACACGGGGGAATATTGATCAAAATGTAATTTTATTTAATAAAAACAAAACAAAATGTAAAACTACGATAATACGCCATAAATATAAACCAATAATAGGTACACAATTTTCAAATATTTATTGAAATAAAATAATTACCAATCAGTATCTGATAATCCACGTCTAGACTTTGCGGGCACAAGGTATAATTTTAATCAAATGTCTCTAAATATAAAAATACTATCGCACGATAAAAGTCAGAACACGTCTACACTCTCCGAGCACCGAGCGTAAACTGACTGCCGTACACTATACGTATTACTTGATACCCTCACAATTAAAATTGTCCTTACTGTCTGGTCTGCAAAACCATGAGACAGAATGGCAACCACTTTTAAAATTATTTGTCAATTTATTTTTTAACACACTAAAACGTCCGTGCTGTCTGAAACGCGTTCGTTCACTGTGACAGTACGACCCAGACTGGCAGCTTTTAAAGCTCTCTTAGTCACTCCTGCGCAGGTAAAAAAGCTCCTTTTGTTACTAAGGGTACGCGTAGTCACGTGGTGATTTGTTTCGCGTTGTAGATAAAGAACAATAGAAAGTATAGAATAGACCAGTTTTTTATTGTACTAGGTTTTCTTTATAAGGAATATGTTATCACTTTAGGTTCTTTTGAACCCCATGTTATTTTTTAAGAGATGCGCACGGAAAATATTTTTAGAAATGTATGAATGAATTATAGACAACATAAGGTTCTTATAATTTTATTGATAGCATCTCAACATCAACATCATCTTGGTTTAACTGAATTGTAATAAATTATAAAATATAGAAAATGTAGTGTTTATAGGTGGAAATAAAGGAATGTAGGTATTTCGGAGCAACTTGGAAAATATTGAGTTTAATTCAACATTCTATGGTCTGTGACAATTAGAGTAGTACTTATTTATTTATTTTATTAATACAAAACATAAATAAACGATATTATGACAATATACATAAGTTACCAACTGCTAAGTAAAATTAAATGATATTGCGCATGTTGATAGTAATATTTACATTCAAGTTAGTACATATTTACAAAATGTGTTACTTTATTGAATCAAGAAGACAAATTAATAAACTAACCAATATTATCTGATTCAACTTACCCAAGAATCAAGAAAGATTGTCCGATATTAGAATGGTCCGATTTTTATGCAATAGGTATATTGTCCGATATACGAGTATGTACTTGTAGTTTTGGTACAAACTCTTCAAATTCGTCTACCAAGCCCATTTGATTCCTCTACAATGCCAATTTGTAGAACCAATGTCGTGTTATAAGCATACACTAATTACTATGGAATTTGAAAGTAATTATTTTTGTCTAATCAGTTCCCATTAGATTATTTGTTAACCATCATTAATGACGATAACTCATTAACTTATGACGTTAAAGTGACTAAAGTATCAACAAACAGATTCAATTGTGAACGTAATTGATTTGAGTTCACAGTCAATTTGATGCTATTTTTACCAACTAGACCAATAGCACTAGGCTATTTTTAGGTCTTAAGTTTAAAAAAAAACCGGCATAGTGCGAGTCGAATTCGCGCATCGAGGGTTCCGTACCTACAAACTAACTTTGATTTTCTAAAGGTACTATAGACCTGAGTATTTGATATGAATTTCAATTTAATACCTCTACGTGTTCATGAAGAAAGGAATAGTAACTTTAAAAATTTTGAAAATGTATTTAAAAAAACCTAAGTGCTAAGATCTTGTTCAAACCAATTTTCAATTGAAGTTTGCATGATAATGTACATCATATTATTTTATTTACTTTGTGTTTGTGAAGTGTCTCTCGCGCAAAATATTCAGTTTAGAAAAAATTATATTAGAAACCTCAATATCATTTTTAAAGACCTATCCATAGCAGCACATTACAACAAAATAAAATACCACAAAATTTCACTTGACGTACAACAAGTTATTTTTAAATTGACGCGCGCAACGAATCAAAAAATAAACTTACCTCATTAGTGGGAACAGGAAAAAGGGGGGTAAAAACTTCACATTAGTATATCCCCAAATTAGCGGGGGCAGAGGGGATGGAGTGGTGCCGAAATTTGGGTCACGTGCTGTGTTCTATTGCAGGTATTTTTGAGGTAATTAGGTATTGAGACGTCAATTTTTGTTAAGAACGGAACTCGCAAAGTGTAGCAGTCAGTCTGTTAATTGGTCACATACAATTTTATGGGTTATCTTTTAATAAACAAGATTTGTGAAGGAACTTTGTGAGCCAATGAAGTTATTGATTTTTTTTTCCACAAAATTCCATTACAAATCCTATATCTATAGAAAATCTTTTATAAAATTGGTTATATCGAAGGTTCTATTGGTATTTTCCATAAAATGAGATGCAAGCCAAGAGCTTCTCCATTGAGGGTAAAATTATAAGAATATTTGTTTGATACCTAAATCACAGGAAAAATTATTTCGAAAAGTATTTTTTTCACTATCCACAAAGTTAAAAAATAAAATCTAGCCAATAAATGCTACTATTTACCGTCTGTGCGGCCAGACTCAACATTTTTGTTCCTAATAACACTTATTATCATAATCATAATATTTATGTCTATAAATTTTAACACATCAACGAAAGCAAATGACAATGCCCAATTTCCCTCCATAAAACTGTCCCTCCAAATGAAAAACTAATACCAGACGGAGGCCCCGTAATGCGGGGCTCACCGAGAGATTACCGGCTGCCCTCCGTGAGCCCTCCGGTTATCAGAGCTTATTCCCGATATAATGCAGAGGAGGTTTTGGAAACTATCTGCAGGGAAGTCTTGTATTTGCAAGTTTAAAACTTATTACAAGAAGAAAATTTCATAGGTTTTGTTTAGGGTAGTACACTCACGTGCGAGTTTATCATTTTTGTAGACTTTCTGTAGTTATAATGGTCGTGCTATTTTCAACCGACTTCAAAAAAGGAGGAGGTTCTCAATTCGACCCGTATGTTTTTTTTTTATATGTTTTTTTGTGTTCACGCAATTGAAGTCGGTTTTATTTTTTTAAAAAGTTAATTAATTACAAAGACTTTTTTAAAGTAAAATGAGACTCGTGTATTTTTGTGTATTAAACAACAGAGAGTACAGATTGGAATATTTCAACATGAACATGGAAATATTTTTTATTTTTAATACAGGGATTAGTACTTCAAAGATAAAGATACAGCTGTGGATAAAGTCTCCTGAAATTTTTTAAAGACGAATCATTACAATTTTCGAGTATTGTTATCCACCATATCTACAAAAATAGTAGGTACTTCCTCCTTCTTTTAAGTCGGATAAACAGGTAACAGTTGAGAGAATTATTTTCATCCAGAAATAAAAATCTCATTAGATAAAAACTGGTCATAAACTTTATGTAGGTACTCCTCTCAAATTCTTATTACTATGATGAAAGCCGTCCATTTAACAAAAGGTCTTTCATCTCGAATTGCACAAAAATAGTCCATCTGACGAATATACCGTCAGCCTCACGGTACATTTCAACGGGAAAGGTTACATTCATACTGTGAAATTGAGTTTGGCTGCTTTTTCCGCGACCTAACGTCGTTCGAATAAAGGCTATTTTATGGGTAGGTTTATTTTTAGAATACCTAATGTAGACATTACTCTAGGAGCTCAGTATCACTCAGCGTTTGTCAGTGGTACAGTCGCGTATACTGAAATACCACAGACATGTCTCAAGGCCGGATGACAACTCCTTAGAGCGACTGGTCGTCCAAGGAAAATTTGTGAAATCGGCAGTGGGAGACGGCGTATGTGACTGCACCAGACAGTCTACCGACAGAGAGAGATGGCGGGAGATCGTGTGGAGAGTTGTATCCGTGTCTACAACCAATGTGAACAACGCTTCACCGTGACCACGATCGCTCTGCAATAGGATGTAGGCGGTACGTAGGACTACGGCGAGAGCAGCTTTCCACAGAGACATCCCGATTTTTGTAGGATTTATACGTTTTTGAATATTAACGTTACGAATAACCCGCGGCCGCTAGTTATAGATATTTACTAGCCCTTACAAACTGAAACGTTACAATTTTAAAGACAATAACAACCATTTTCGTGTTACATTTCTCCACTTGAATCCAACAAGTTTCCCCATAATTTGGAATAGAAACTAATAACCAAAATTATCCTTCATAACGTGGATGTAAAGTTCAATTTTGATTAGCAAAAGTGTATCTTCCCCGTCTATTGTTAGCAGCATCTGTTAATTCTGTACTTCATTGTTGGGAGAGGTAACAATGCCCTAAAGAAGGGCTGTTTGGAGGGATTCCCTCTTTTCTTTCCCTCTTTCTGAGTTATTGCCGTATAATACGTCGAGTTAGGGCGTAGCAACCATTGTTTGGAAGTTAAATTGCGTATTTTGAATTTTTTCTATGAATTAAAACTGAATTTCTGAACGAAATACGAAAATTGCGCTTTGTTATACAGGCTGGAAAGGATAAGGGATCTCACTCGATTATTTCTTAACTATAGAAGAAATCGAAAAACTGTTACTGTAGGCGTAGTGTGAGTTTACATCAAACGCATTCGACATCGACTGCGTTAAAAATATGTATGAAAATTTTAGTTCTTGAAAGTTTCCGCTAGGGGCGCTGTACAATCCGTCATACATTTAATGTCACTTTTTTACACAGTCACTAGTGAAGACATTTGATGTAAACACTAAGCCTTTTGATTCTGAAAGTTCTTCACGAGCTCTTTTAAACGGTACCAATAATAGGTTACAGAATAAACTGGATCTATCCGAAGATCACTTGTCGTTTCCACCCTGTATATGATTGCTGAAATCCGTAACCGGCACCGAGCTTTCTAATAATGATGTTTCTAGGAAGTTATTCTATAAGGCGATTACATACATGATGAGTCATACCGTGTATGAAATACTTTCACGAAAACAATAAGTTCTTTATCTGTCATCTTTTTGCACCGATTTGTAACCAACACCACTTAAATATAACCATTATGTTCCCACAAAACAATAATGATAAGCGATCAATAATCTTCATTATTTTGTTCACAGGTACTAAAAGATAACGAGATTATTGTCATTAAGGTAAACACTTCGGCGAAAACACCGAAGAGTGCTAATTACGAGGGATTAAAGTTCAAACCCGTGGTATTTTCTAAAAGGGTTATTATAGCATAACTTTTGTAATGTAATAAAGATTTTCGGCTCTTTTTAGTAACGCTTTTCAATTTTTTTTGTTTTCGGAATTCGAAAATGTGACATAGATGAAAGAATGGCGGCAGCCAGTCTTTTGTTTTTTACAACAGGGTACTTAAGAGTAGGCGCACACCGTTGATTTTTGGTTGGCCGATAGTTGTGCCCGATTTTAATTTGTATGAAGAATCGGCCAAATCGAATCAGCGTAGTGTGCGCACTCCCACAACTCAGTTGTTCTACGGTAAAAAGTTGTGAGATCCATGTAATACCAAGTCCAGGCCAAGAAATGGTTGGTTGGTTTTTTGGTTTTTTTGACAAATATTGTTTTTGATGGGATCTCATTTCTTTTTGTATTTTGTAGACAGCAGTTATGTATCTAGAAAACTGGACCGAAATTGAAAAATTTTACTCGACTTGGCGGTTGCACTACCGTGCCCCCAAATATTTTAGTTTTTCCTTGATTCGTACACCAAACATTACTTATATTCCAAATT